GGGGGGGGGTAAAATATTTACATTTTCACTTTTTAAAACGAACGATTATAAGTGCAAAGTAACTGAGTCTATAACATTAAACAAGAAAATTTATAACGGCACCCCCCCTAAAAAAACAACCCTTAAAACCGCCAAAAAAACCCAAACAAAACCAACAACCCCCCTCCCAAACAAACTACCAGAATGCGTATTAAAATGTAGTCAACAATGAAAAATGGAAAAATGCAAAGTAAAAGAGTATATACCAAGAAAGAACAATATATATATATATATATATATATATATTACATATACATATACACACTCAACAACAAAAGAAACGCAAGTGATATACAAAGTAAAGGAAGATAAAGACATTGGTAAGTAATTTGTGCTTTTATTGATTTTTTCGTCACATTAATTGAAAAAGATTCCTCTGTAAGGATTACAAGTCCCGCTGGAGAGAAAAAACAAGTTGAATTTGCTGTGAAAAACGAAGTACTGAAGTTAAAGGGTATGTCTATAAGTCGGTTATGTCAACTTTGAATCAATAGCGTGTGTGTGCCCACCATTTGCGTTCACAGCAGCTTGACATCTGTTTGGCATTGACCTCACAATTGTGTGAATGATGGTCATGTTCACATTTGCACCAATTTGTGTGATGGCTCACTGCAGTTGAGGTGCTTTTGCTGGTCTTGGCTGAAAACGATTCAGTTATCTTTTGATGCGGTCCCAGTAGTGTTCGATCGGGTTGAGGTCTGGACTCATTGAGCGCCATTGCAGCACCCTGACATTGGTCTGCTGTAACAAGGCTGCTGTAGCTCTTGCACTATGGGGTCGAGCATTATCTTGCTGCAGGATAAGATTCAGGTGTTACTGGAAATTAGGTATGATCACAGATGCCAGTACCTGTTGGACGTAGCGTTGTGCAATAACACCGTTACCTTGACCAGGTCCAATGTTTAGGAAAACAACGGGTCCCAAGTGTTGGTTTAGGCCGATTGCACCCCAGATCATGATGCTGGGGCCACCCCATGCATCGAAGTGCAGAATGTTGTTGTCAGCAAACCATTGGCCGGGTCTTCTCCATATCCGGATTCTTTCATCTCCTCGACTGACGCAAAAATGGCTTTCGTCAGTGAATAGGACATTTCTTCACTGTTGCCAGGTCCAGTTCACATTTTGCTGAGCCCACGCCAAACGTTGCTGCCGATGTCTTGCAGAGAGGACTGCACGTCTCAAAGGTTGGCGACATTTCAGTTGTTCTTCTCTAAGCCGGCGGCGCACAGTCTGACATGAAATGGTTCTCCCATGTTTTCCAGCGAGATTTGGTAGCACACATGAAGCTGTCTTGCCGGTGATTCCGCAGCTGGGCACGGTCTTGGCGCACTGGCGTCAGTCGTGGTCGGCCAGTTCTGTGAACATCATGAGTACTTCCAATAACTTAAAAACGTTTCCAGAGTCGACGTATTGATGAGAGGGACACACCCATGGCAATAGACACATCTGTTGGACTCTCTCCGGCTTGCAATCTGCCTATAGCCCTTTCTCGGTTTGCTTCGCCGAGTCTTGGCATTGTCGCCGGCTCAAAACACTCGACTGAAGAAAGCGTTACGTCCTGTCACTTTTTACCCCTCGGTCCCGTGAACACTTTTCAGAGGATAAAAAGTGCTCACCAATTGGCATGCTCAAGAAATACCCAGTTTGCTTTTTTTTTCTTTGCCGCCATATTGTGACCTAATTTTACACTATGAGCATTTTTTCAGTTTGGTGACATGAGCTCACAACATCACTGATTACAAAAAATCAGTCATGGTCTACATTCTAGCGAATATGGGTTATTAAACACACGAGTCTTTTAGTAGCTATGTGACTTGCGTAACTTTTGTTGTTGAGTATATGTATACATTTTTTTGGTAAGTGTTTTATCCCGCTCGAAACTGCATAAGGTCATATGAGCGCGCGGGACACATTAAACTTTTTCAGGGGGTAGGAAATTTTGAATTTTGCCCGGGTGGCGGCCGAAGCATACTCTTATCGATTTTTGACCACCAAGGGATCTTTAACGTGCGCAACGTGCACACGGGCCCTCCGAGATTTTTCGCCCTTGTCCGAGAAGGCTAGGTGTAGATCTTTTTTACCAGAAGATCAGGGGTGTGGCTGAAAGACAGCAGTAAGAAGGAAAGAGTCAGGAGCCCAGAGAAGGGGGCAAAGGAGGTGACAGGTGGGGGCAGAAAGAGGAGAGGAAAGCAGACGACAGAACATTGCTAGAGAGCAGTAAAGGAGGTGAAGGAAACAATTTTAGAGGAGAACATTTTTCGGTCGCTCCCCGGATTCAAACCCGGGACCTTTGAATGAGAGGCCAACACCTTAAGCTCTAGGCC